TGCGATGGTAGTAGTATACTCCTCAACCATCTGTTGCCTTACTGCATCATGCACGCCTGCCACCACTTTGTGGTCACCTGATGCCCTTGTTGTGGCTGCAATCTAGTGAGCCAGCTCGTTCTGAGCTCTGTTAATCACCCTGACCTCGAACCTTTGGAAGGCATTTGAGGTTTTCTTTATGTCAGCTATGGTTGCATAGCAAGACGACTTGCAGGAATCCGCCGAGAGCAAGTTCCGGCCCACTGCAGCGCAATCCACCTCCAGGATTATAGGTCCCCCATACACGTTCGACAGTTTAGACATCCCCATCAGTGCAGCAGCTGCCTCTGCCTCTTCTACCGAGCTACACTGGTTTAGCCGTCGTCCGACAGACAAGTGGACAGAACCCCGATGGTCTCGAGCTACTGCTCCTCCCCAAGTATCCCCAGAATCTTTAAGAAAGACGGCATCACAGTTGATTTTTACATACCCAACTGCTGGTGCTATCCAGCGATTATTTTTCAGGGGTACAAGCTTGGATGTCCTCTGATCAAAAAGTGTGGTTGCTTGCTTGCTATGAGGCACATTGGCTACCTGTTCAGCCGTTAGCAAATCTTCGCCCAGTCTGAGGAGTTGATGCACTGCTCCCGTGACAGTATCCTTCCCATCCCCAAGGATGGTGTTGTTCCTGAGGCTCCAGGCTTTCCACAGTATTAACAGGATATTGCTTCTGATGCTAGCTGATTGTGGCAGAAGGAGGTTCTCAAGCCAATCCTCTCCCGTTCGTCTGAACTCAACTTCCTTGGGGATGTCCCATTTAACTCTCATGGCAGCTCTCAACGCCCTGCTTCTTGTGCATGAAACAACTGCATGGAACTCATCTTCACTCTCCGTTCCACATAATCACATATGTCTTCCTTCACAATAGTCCTTCTGAAGGTGTTGTGTTTTGTTGCCAACGTTTGGGTCGCCACTCTCCACCCAAATTTTTTTGTTTTCTCTGGAATGTTTGCTTTCCATATGACATCCCAAATGCTTTTGTTCCCGGGTTCACTCGACGAGCTAGAGGGGGCCTCCCTTCCATTTCTACTTAGAGTGACGCCAAGTTTGTAGGCGCTCCTGACAGTGAAGACACCAGACTTTTCATAGTGCCAAGCCACACAATCCTCTACTTCAGCAGAGGGGATTCGGATTTTGCAGATTTTGTCTGCATCAAAAGCATGGAAAATTCTCCTTATGAGGTCGACGTTCCATTCTTTTGTGTCCGAAAGCATTAATTGGTTGACCCATCTCAGTCTGGAGCGGCTTATGAAATGCGCAGTTTTTAGGCCTTCGTCTCGTGGAATCCATTGGTCTCTCTCAATTTGGATTTTCCTTCCGCTGCCCACTCTCCAGATGAGTCCCTTTTTCAGAAGCTCGAGTCCAAATTCAATCCCTCGCCACGCGGGGGAAGCATCCGAGGAGAATACGGTATTCAGTAATTCACCATTGGGGTAGTATTTAGATTTTAGGACCCGGGCACACAAGCTGTTCGGGGATTGCAGCAGCCTCCATCCCTGCCTAGCTAGCAGCGCTTGGTTGAAATAATGCATATCTCGGAAACCTATGCCTCCATCCCTCTTAGGTTTTGTCATATTCTCCCATGACATCCAATGAACTTTTCTATGTTCATCCTTGTCTCCCCACCAAAAGTCTCTGATCATTTTTTCATACTTATCACAGAAGCTTTGGTTGAGCTTGAAAACCCCCATGACGTAAATTGGCAAGGATTGTACAATTGATTTAACATGGACTTCTTTTGCCGCTTGGGACATGAATCTTTCATTCCAGTTATTACATCTCTTTCCAAATTTGTCCAAGATCGGTTGGAAGTTCTCATCTTTCATTCTCCCCTCCGGTGTTGGCAACCCCAAATATTTGCCCTCAAAAGTTGAAGATTCCACTCCTAGGGTGCTCATAATATCCTTCCTTACATTATCTGGACATGCCTCACTGAAGAGTAGGGAACACTTGCTATGGCTCAACAGTTGACCCGAGCATTTCTAAAAAAGGTCTAAGAGCTCCTTCACTTTCCTTGCTTGATCTACATTAGCTTTGAAGAAAAGCAAGCTGTCATCCGCGAAGAGGAGATTTGATATACCCGGTCTGCCTCGGGCGATTTTCAGTGGGGAGATAGTACCTTCTTCAACTTCTCTGTTTAATAAGGTAGCCAATCCATCAGCCACAAATAAGAAGAGGTATGGACTCAACGGATCCCCCTGCCTCAGGCCTCTCGATGGCACAAAAGCATCCAGCAGCGCACCATTGCATTTAACCGAAAAAGTGACTGACCTCACGCATATCATCACCCATCTAATCCACTTCCGATCAAAGCCCAGTTGTATAAGAGCACCTTCAAGAAAATCCCAATCAACCCTGTCATAGGCTTTGGCCAAGTCCAATTTGTAAGCACAATGGGTATCTCTCCGGTTCTTGCTGTGTTGGATTTTATGGAAGCATTCAAAAGCGATGATCGCATTGTCAGTGATCAGTCTCCCCGGGATGAAGGCACTTTGAGTTTCAGAAATGAGGTCATCAAGTAGAGGGCGTAAACGATTTACTAGCACCTTCGAGATTACCTTGTATATAACGTTGCAGAGGCTTATGGGGCGGAAATCCTTGATACTAATCGGATTGTTTCCTTTAGGAATGAGCACAATTGTAGTATCGTTCACACCCGCTGGCATCGCTCCATCCTCAAAAAACTTTTTACTCCATTTATTACGTCCTCCTTCATGGTTTGCCAATTCCGCTGAAAAAAACGAGCCGGGAAACCATCGGGCCCCGGGGCTTTGAGTGGTCCGATTTGAAATAGGGCATCACCTATCTCCTCATCTGTGATCGTTTGGACTAGAGTTTCATTCATTCTGTCATCCACCTTCTTCGGGAAAAGGTCAATTAACTCCTGCGGTATAACTTTGTCGTCTCGCGTATATAAGCCCTGGAAGAAATTATTTATCTCCCCATGTATTTCCTCTGTTTTCTCTCCCAACTTCCATCCTCACGTTTCAGTTTTGTTATTTTATTTTTCTTTCTGGGCCAGGTTGCTTTGAGGTGGAAGAATTCCGTGTTCCTATCCCCTTCCCTTAACCAGGTTATCCGAGACCGTTGTCTCCACATCATCTCCTCCCTGTAAAGCCATTCATCTAATTCAGATTCTGTTCGCCTCATCTTCTCTTCGATTTCGGGAGTTTGATGTAGCATACGGAAGCCCTTGAGAGCATCTTTAAGCGACTTTATTCTGTTTTGTACAGAACAGAACTCCTTTTGCGCCCATTTGCTAAGTACCCCCTGCATACTTTGTAGTTTCTTGGTGATTTTTTCCAGAGAGTGACCTGGACCTCCACCAGACCATGCATTAGACACTACTTCTGGTAGTTTATCCGCTCTTTCCCACATATGTTCATATCTGAAACTCTTGTTGACTGGATGCCACTCTCTCCTGGAGCCGAAACGGAGCAGTAGAGGTACATGGTCAGATCTCGAGGACACAATATGTTCTACTGTAGCATTGCTAAACAGTCTGCACCACTCTGGGCTAGCAACCCCTCTGTCAAGGCATGCTTTTACATTGAAAATCCCCCTCTGTTTATTGTCATATGTCCAGGGTGTGCCCTTGAAGCCTATGTCATGGAGGTTGCAATCCGCTAGCACTCTTCTAAAATCTGCCATGTTACTTTCCGACCGGTGTGCTCTCGAGAAATGCTCGCTCTGCCACATGGCTTCATTGAAATCACCAATCATGAGCCAAGGTTCAGAGGAATTGTTACGAATTTTCCTCAACAGATCCCACATGTGATGTCTCTCATTAGCCTTTGGTTCGCCATACACGAAAGTTCCTCTCCATTGTGAGCTATTTGGATTTAGACGGATTAACACATCGATGTACCGGGGACCAACGGCAAGCTCTTTTATTTTGACTGACTCATCATAGAAGAGTGCAATGCCGGCGCCTTTCCCGACGCCGGGTTGCACGATACAGTGTTTGAGGCCAAGCCTCCATCTCAACTTATTCACTACATCATTGATTTGCCGTGTTTCAGAGATAAAAACTAGTTTGGGTCTGTAGATGTGCACGAGACCCACTAGTTCGCGAACTGTCCGGGGTTGCCCCAAACCCCGACAGTTCCAACTGATGAGTGTCATGGCTCCTGGTGGACGCCCTCCTCGGCATCCACCAGTTGACCGAGAGCCCCATGCTCGGTTGCTTCCTTTCCACCTTCCTTCCCCGAGTCCTCTTGCTCCTCTCCATTGCATGCTCCTCTCTTTTTCTTACACTGGTCTGTATCTCCTTTCTTCTCATCAGAGTTTGCCACCTCATTTTCAGACTGCACACGGTCACCTCCTTTGCCCAACATAGATACCTGGTCGCCTCTCCCCTTCTTTCCGAGCCTTCCCATAGCGACCTTCTTCCTCTTCAACTCCTCCTTCAACTGGTTTTTTCCTCCCTGTGACTGAACCGGTTCAGTTAACACTTGGGCTTTGACAGGACTAGTAGCAGCATTGACAATGCCGCTTCCAGCAGCAGCGTAAAGTGGAGTCGGGCCAAAGCCGGGTGGGAAGGGGAGCTCCACCGGCTCCTTGGATGATTGGGGGTCGACTAACACCGCTGCTTGCATCGCTTCGGGCAGAGCTGAGGTAGAGCCCAGCTGCGCCAAGGTAGCTTTTTCAGTCTCACTAGCATTGTTCTTGTTGTCTCCCTGAACCTCGTTCAACTGCTTGTTGTTGATGATCCTTTTCTCTGCCGTTACATCCACCGCGTTGGCTTGGGGAGCCTTCTTTTGATACAGAGTGTCCCTAGCGGCGCCTCCGGAGCTATCATCCTCACCGCTGCCCGAGTCCAGCTTGATGCTTCTGACTGCCGCAATTGCAGCCTGAACCAATGGGTCAGCCAGCACCTTCTCCGAAACCATGCCAAACTTCTCTGTTGCCTTCTTATGCTGGCTCATCTTTGACGCTCCCATGTTCTCTGGCTCGAAGAGGAGGAAACGGCGAGCACTGCTCGTTTCCGGGACGATGACACCTCCCCTCATACTACTTCTTTTAAAAGGAGATGCGCGTAATGCTGCCGAGAATCTCATCTCTTGGAGATCCTTCGAGAGCTTACAATCGCGCTGCCCATGCCCCAGATGGCCACAAGCACTACAAAACCTAGGGAGCCTCTCATATTTTACATTCAGCTTGTACATTTTCCCTTCAGCACTATCATAAGTCTCTAACTTACTTCTAATGGGTTCATCCACATCATGGTTAACACGAACACGCATATAGTTGCCCCAGATTCTGCCATCCTTGTTAGCATCCACTTCTAGCACCTCCCCAAGCTCGGCTCCGAGGGCACGGGCCACCGACTCGAAGAGCATGACCGGAGGTGCATCGTGGATGCGTGCCCACATTGGCATGTGGGCGACCTCCACATCACCTGGCCTGTCGCTCCCGTCCACCGCCACCATGAGGAAGGCGTCTCCTTTATGGGTCCACGGCCCATTGTTGAGGATGAACCTGAGGTCCCCCTCACGCTCAAACTCGAGGGTGAAGCGGTTATTCTTGAGTGGAGTGTAGCTGAGGCGCCCCCTCAACCCCCACTTGCTCTTGAGCTCATGGAAGAGTCTGCTGATGTTGAAGATCTGCACCGAAAAGAACAGGCCGACAGCGATCCACCTTGATCGCATGGCTTCCCTCTGCCTCGCCAAGTTTAGCTCCACCACATTGGACCTCTGCATCTCCATGTTAACAGGGAACACGGGAGCTATCACATGTTCATTCACATCATACCTTGCTCCCTGGGA